ATTCCCGAAAGGCACTAGAATTGTTGCTGATATAATCATCGTAATATTTCTCCACAATCACACCCGAAGCGCTTCTATTTATAATTTGACCATTGTTTTTTTTGTATTCTGCATGTGTGATTTTATTAATAGAAGCGTATGTGCAGATGGTTCGCTCATTGCCCTCATGCCTGAAAGAACTTATTAACATATTCATTTAGCGATGAATAATGTGACTTCGCGCTCACAAAAGGACTCAAATTAGTGTTGTCAATCTCTCTTCTCCTACTCCTCCCGGAGCCTGGTGTTGACTAAAGAGGGTGAAGGGACTCCGATATTAGCACCGTTGTTTGATTTATTACATTTGAAAAACAAACGAAGAGCATGTTGTCTTTTTGGAGATGCTGCAGGGAGAAAGAAAAAAAAACAAAACAAAACAGAGACTTTGGCAGGGAATTAAAGACCCGTGTGATCGCGGTTCCATGTTTTATGAGGAAAATACGAGCAGTCGGCCAAGTTGGACATCCTGGAATTAGAAAGATTGTTTTTGGGCGGTGGGGGGAAAGTTTTGACTCCCCCTTTCGGCTAAACATCAGCCCGTTTGCAGGGGTTTTTAAGCTATTTGCCGTGTCAACATAAGCAAATGGTGAACATTTCCTGTACAGGGAGGAATAACAGGTCGGGACGACGATTATTTGGACAAATTGGTCCAGCACATTCTGGTCTCGCGTGCAGACAGCTGTCGAATAGAAAGAAAATAAATTTAAGCTGAGAGCGGCGATGAGCGATGAACTCTCTTTTTCATGGCCAATCCTCCAAATGATCATGAAAGTTTTTAAGCTATGCCCTGCCTACATGAGATGGCCTCGGCATTAAACTTCAACCATTTAGCATTGCCCATCTGTCTTCGATACCTGCTTCTGCCGGCGGCTCATTTAAGATAATTACCTCGTAGGAATTTGCCAAAGTGCGGCACTAGCGTGGATGAGCATTAGCATATCTGCATCACCATTCCGAAGTCGGGGGTTCAATTCCATGTATGTGTTTGGAGCTTGCATAACATTTTTCTCCCTGTGCTTTCTTCACTCTGGCTTCCTTTCACATTCCAAAACGTGTGTTATATTCATTGAAGACTCGAAGTCAGTGATGGGCAATTTGGAGGGGGCCATCATTTTTCCTCAGCGCTACTGGGTCGGGGCCTACATAGGGCGGGTCCCTAACCAGATGTAAAAGTATCGTATTCTTTTTCCACACTAAATGCATGTGAAAAATATCAAAAGAGGCTTCCGAAAAAAATAACCTCATCTTGTGATCCCCCCCCCCCCCATTGCTCAGGGCTCCCATCTATAAAAATTACCATTCAAGGATGGCACAAAATTGCTAAACAGCACACAAATAGAACTCATGCAAGAACTCATGTTTGCATTTTTTTTCCCCCCAAAATCAACTCACTAAAAATGTTAACCAATGGCATGTTGACACAAAACACATTGCAGTGATTCTTTTTGGAGATGTGTCACTGGCCCTTTCCCCATGCATCAAACATGACCACCTAGTTTTGTGTTGATACGTGAAACCGCGGCAAGGGCTAAATATGTGTCTTTTTAAGAAAGAAAAAAAAATATGTTCTTTTTTTTCTGATGAAAAATGCACCGCCTGAAGCCAGTTTCCTGGAGATTTGCTCCCAAATTCCAACCACGCAAACTAGACAGATGGTTGAATAAATATGGAGTGGATATTAAATCGCAATAATTATATGAATAAAGTCAACATAATTTCCGGTGTCCCCTTGTCAGCCTTGTTTGTCGATCAAACCAGCAACTGAGCGTATGCGGCTGTTTTTAATTTTGAATAATTTCTCCCTGGATTCCAAAAAAATGTTTTCGCGTTCAATTAATTGGATTTTGATAGTGCGGTCATGATTGAGGCCAATGAATTCTGCCTAGCAACAAGTGGTCCTATGGTAAATCTGATGATGATGATGCCCACCTTGATGAGTTGATTAAACAATAAAACGAGTGCGGGATCCTGAGATGCCTTCCGGAGGTTAAATTAATTTCTGACATGGTCATCCGGCACAAGCTCAGTTAACGCCGTACTTACCGTCTTCCATTGGATTGTTTTATATTAAAGGCCAGCGAGTGTTTTTTCACGATTCTAATTATGACTTCGCTACCGTGTTAGCATACGAACTGGACTGCGGACCCTTTGTATAGATTATTGGATCATAAATGAAAAAAACTAATCATCAAAAAATGTCTCGCAACTCACTAAACTCTGAAATTGAGGCACTTATAAATCCGAGATACCACCGTATTAAAATTAACAACACGATATCAGTTCTCGCCCATTTTTATCATTTGTCTACTCTGAGGGCTGACCTCGTAAAGCAAGCCCCAAGTACGACATGTCCTATTCGGTTAAACAACCTCTAGACGAATTCGGAATGCTTCCAATCATTTTGTCATCTATTCACGTCACCCCAGGAACCATTTTTCACCAGCGGGAGAGCAAGGACGCCCGCAAATGCTACAAAATTGAACCGTTGGCGGTCGTCACGACACAACAGCAAAATGTCCGCCGAATCACGTCCGCGCGAGCGTTAACGTGACCGATGGTCTTCGGACCGCGCCGCCGCATAGCGGATGATGTAGCGCCGCCGCCCGCCGTGGGAAATGAGCTCATAAGTTAACCATGTAAAGAAGGCTGAGAAAACAGCATGCGCAAGTAATGAAAGCCATCAAACAATACGGCCTCGGCGAGAGGCTGAGCCGTCGCATGTCGGCGCCGGTGGAATGGCCGCGGGAGCGTTTTACAATATTCATCTTCTCATAATCTGACGGCACGGTGACTGATCTCTCGACAGTGACTCTGTGGCGCGCGAGTGGCGATTATACGATGAAAGCCATCTTTGCATTCAGACGGAGCTCGCGGGGAAAGTGAATGGAGCGAAGCTCGTTTTTCAGTCGAGGGTCTTTTGTTGTTGTGTTTGTTTGTGTACGTGTAGCCCGCAGGTCAACTTTGCAAATGTCATCCTGGGAATTGTGGGGGTTTTTTTTTCCACCCGCCTCCCCATTTGTTGCCACTCATCTTTAATGGGTTATGTCATCTGTTGAGCCACTACAAAAGTGTTAGGACACCTACAGGCATCTCTGTCTCGAAGCTTTGTTTGATGTCTTTGTTGAATCACCTTTTTGAAAACTTGCCAGTTTAATATTGCAACTTAACACTTATAGGCATAACTCAAAAAGCCATAACTTAAAATAGCTGCAAATCTGCCATTTTTGGTTTGAATTTGGCATTTTAAGGTCACTTTTAAGGTGATTCTTCAATGTTCTGAATATTTGGAACAGTTTTATTTTGCAACATGAACATTGGTACACTGTGTCACTGACGGGGGGAATTTTTGCCATTTCCACAGGAAAACAGTTTCAAGATGTTTTTTTTTTTTTTTTTTATTCTGATAGCTCCCAAAATGAACACACATTTACTCGATGCAACAGAAAGAGTATCAGAACCAATTTTGATGCCTCACCACGAAATACAAAATACTAATACAGTCAAACATCGGTTTTCGAACGTCTCGGTTCTCGGCCAATTTGGTTTTCGACCAAAAATTTCGAGTTTTTTATGCCTCGGATGATGAACAAATTTCGGTTCTCGAACAAACTGAGCGCACTCGAATGCACCACTTGACTCCTCTTGCCTTCATTACACGAGGAGGTGACGCTTCCTCGTGTCGCTTTCCATTGTGAGCAGACGTGTTCAATAAACTTTTTTTTTTTTTTTTTTTTAAACCGCGTGGTTTCGGTTTTCAAACAGCCTTCTGGAACGGATTATGGACAAAAACCGAGGTTTGACTGTAATTCAACTCCATCAGGTATAAATACTGTCTGTACATTGTGTGTGGAATTAAAATATTTTAAGCCTTGATATAATCAAGTAGAGCGATCGATATCGATTATGTTAACCCGATGTCTATGTTCCATATGTGGTTCCATTCCACCCCTGCAAAACATGTTAAGGCCCTGGAATAAAAAAAAAAAAAAAAAAAAAACAAAAAAAAAAAAAAAGCCAGCGGGGGAAAAAAAAAAAGGTAATAAAACTGAGTAAGCAAGCGAGTTGTCTGATTTATGGCGGTGGCCTGAATGGGTCATGTCCATAAATGAGTGAAATGGAGAAACATAAACAGTGAATTCAAGACAAGCCGCCACTGTCTTTTGTGTGTGTGTGTGTGTGTGTGTGTGTGTGTGTGTGTGTGTGTGTGTGTGTGTGTGTGTGTGTGTGTGTGTGTGTGCGCGCGTTGTGTGCAACACAAACAACACAACGTGTGTAAATCATCAATAGGGACTCGTCAAAGTGTGTTTATTCATGTCGTGACCCACATATGCTCCCTCGGAAGGCCTCATCAAAAGCCTTATTGTCCTCCCTCCTCTTCCTCCCTCCTCCCTCCAGCTCGCCTTGCCGGCTCGGTCTCTCTCGGGTTCCTTTTATACGCCGATCTCCGCATTGTGAGACAGCCACGCCGCCCCCTTTTTCCTGTAACAACCCCCGCCGCCCACACCCGCTCCCCCGCGCCGTAAAGTGAAACCCGCCAATAGCGGGCTGGTGTCGAGCTGACAGTGGCCGTCACTCAGCATGTGGACGCGGCTCCATCTCCATCCGCGGTCACGCGGAGTTCAAGACTCCTTTCGTCAAAGATAAAAAGCAGGCCCCTTTTTTCCTCTGAGGAAAATAGCACTTTGTTTTCTTCATCAGACTTCAATTTCAGCCATTTTTTTTTCTTGACACTTAGGGCCTTTTTCTTTTCAGAAAATGTTCTTTATGATTTGAATATTGCAAATGCATTCCCAAAGCATATGTTTTCACTTATAATGCGGCGGTAAACTGATTTTGTGTTCATATTTTGTTTCATTAAGGGAAGAAGTCCATCCATCCATTTTCCGATCCGCTGTATCCTCACAAGAGCCGCGGGGGGTGCTTGGAGCCTATCCCAGATGTCTCCGGGCAGTAGGCGGGGCACACCCGGAACCGGTTGCCAGCCAATCGCAGTAAGTGGAGAAGTTTGGTGACATTAAAAAGAAAAAAAATTAAAATTAAAAATGTCAGTCGTGACGTCATCTTATGAGTGACTTGAGGGAAAAAAAACAATTGACAATTTGGAAAGCTCTCACTGAGACTTTTAATTTGATGTTTCCTTTTAACCAGTGAACTTTGACCTCAGGCGATCTTCTTTAATTCAAATTTCATTGCCACCCAAAAATAATGAGTTGATTGGCTGTCTACCTAGTATATTTCCTGCAAGTTTGAAGACGATGGGATGAAAATATATCGATATATATTTTTAATTGGGACACCCTGTGACCTTGGCCTGTGACCTTCATAATTTGGTACTTACAAAGTTCCAAAACCAAAAAAATATGTTGACTAGCCCATATTGTGGTGCTTTTTTATATTAATGAGAGAGCAAAGGTCCCAAAAGGTTTCATACATGCTTTATTGTTTTTAAATTTGCTATTAAAAAAAGTTAATCATGCATGACCTACGTGGGAGTCACTCTCGGCGGGTGTGTTAAAAAAAAAAAAAAAAAAAGGCAACCCGCCCATGTCAAATTGTCTCAGATTTTTTTTTTTTTT